TGTGTGTGTATGTGTGTGTATGTGTATGTGTGTGTGTGTGTATGTGTGTGTGTATGTGTGTGTGTGTATGTGTCTACACTGGTTTTAGCTACTGCCTCCACCTAGCAGTTAGGTGGTTTAGAAAGTCACACCATTGATACAGTTTCAGGCTCTTCTATAAAAGTTTAGCTGGAGGAGTTGTTGAGTCCACAGCTCCAGCCAAGTCCCCCAGAATCTCTCAAAAATTAGTTACATCAATTGTCTTTAAATGATGGGTGATTTACCACTTTTTAAAAACATATTTTATTTATTATTTTTATTTTATGTGTACGAGTGTATTGCCGGCATGTATGTGAGTGCACCTGAGTCGTGCAATGCCGCGAGGGTCAGAAGAGGGCTTCGGATTCCCCTGGAACTGGAGTTAAGGACGGTCCATAACCGCCATGTGGATGCTGGGAATCAAACCTGGGTCCTCTGCAAGAGCAGTCAGTGCTCTTAACTGCTGAGCCATCTCTCCAGCCCCAATTTACCACTTTTTAATAGAATGTGTTTGGAGGATGGGGAACTGAGAAGGAGCCAGAGGAAGCTCTGTTTACAGTAGAAGCCCGCACGGAATAAGCAACATGCTCAGCTTGGGCCGCAAGTGTGTGCCCAGTGCTGCAGCTGTCCTGTAAATGTCCGAGTGGATTTTTCCCTGTGCTTCTCCAAGAGAAGGAAATCCTTTTGACATCTCCCTGCCTTCCCCTTTCCTGCTCTGCCATCCACCAGCAGAACCACAGGGCCAAAAGCTGTAACAATATTAAGATGTTTTCCTCAACCTTGTCCCCAGAAAGATACTCTGTTTCCAAAAGATTGTTCTCCCCTGGGCATTACATCATGAATTGATTCAGTTCTTGGAGGAAGAAATTGGACAAAATATAATAGATTACCTCTTGGGAAAACATTCTGAGGTGGTTAAGTATCCCCATGAGAAAACTGAGAAACTGCTTATATGTTACTACACTGTCCACATTTAACCTTTCCCCTTCATGCAGCTGAGCAGGGAGATCTTTTTTTCTGTAAAGGTTTTTGTTTTCGTGGGGGTCAGAGAGACACTTATTTCTTTTTTAAAGAATACAAGTATTCTGTGTATTTGCTGTTACTCTTGCTTCGGGGCCAGAGTGTGTCACCAGACCCTAGAACAGGCTAGCCTGCGGCACCACCCACGGATGTCCTTGCTATACAGATACCTGGTCTTCCAGTAAGCACTAAAGAGGGGCAGAAGACAGTCAGGATAGAGACGGATGCTTGATATGCTGGCTTCAAGGATTTTGGGGGTCCTGGGGCATTATGCCCAACAGAAAAGAAAGCAAGACTGTCAAGCATTCAGAAGGTTATTGCACTTGGTGTCTTTGTATGGCTGGTGTGACTTTGTAAGCAGTCTCTAGCTGCAGAAGAGGATCGGGTTTCCTCGTTCTTGGGAACTGGTTCTCATAGAAGGATGTTAATGATTGATGAAATAACTCCCATCCAATAAATAGTACAGTCAGAAATGTGGGAGCATTTTTCCTTTCCAAGTTCACAAGTTGGCGTGGAGAAGGGCAAGAAGACTTGGCCACATGGCTCTGCTGGCCCCAGAAATGGTGGCTTGGAATGAAGAGTGCGAGGACAGGCTGAGGAACCTGAGGGACTGTAATACCAGGAAGCCTTTCATCACCAAGTGCCCAGCTGGTGACTGGAAGCCCAACAGCATCCAGAGCCCCGTTAACAGATTGTGCGGCCATGAAGTGACTTGGCCAGCTCTGCTGGCAGGGTCTGTGAAAACTGGGTAGGGTGTTGCTTTCCTGAGCATGTCAGCAAATCTCAATTGTCTTGTCTCATAAATCTCCAATCAGAAGATTAGCACACCCTCCCCAGGGCACTGCTCTATATTCTGTTATCCTAATACAATCCTTCCATGGCTCCAACCAGGCCCTGACTCAACCTAGAGAGTCCAGCTCCATTTTTGAGTTGTACACCTGAGGAATGCTCATTCTCTCTCTGTCTCTGTCTCTGTGTCTAACTGCCCCCACCTCTGTGTGTGTGTGTGTGTGTGTGTGTGTGTGTGTGCGTGTGTGTGTGTGTGTGTGTGTGTGTGTGTGTGTGTGGTTTCAAGCCTGGAAC